ATTGTGTTGTACCAAATAAACTTTTTTATTATAAAAAATCGTAGGTGTACCGATTCATCTAACTTACGAGTAAACCCTGCTCTAAATCATTAGCGTATTCGCTTATATGGCCGTTTCAAGATATTTTAGACAGTTCAAGTTACCAACACATGGTCACGAAAAAAATAGTTGCTACTAGTTATTTTCGTTAAATTCGATACCCATTCGTGAGATTGCAACAACCACAGTATCGAGTACTTCCGCAAAACAACGTTCATTGAAAAAGCTTCAAGTTCAAGAGCAACCAGTTTCATTTTTGGCAGTTCTGTTGGCGATTATATTAATACTTTTGTTATTTCTGAATAAGGTATTGCATAATGTATTCGGTAATTACATTGTTATTATAGTGGTAGAGAAAGAAATCATAAAGAGTAAAAAGGCATCTTTATATATACATTGATGGTTCTTGAAATTGACTTAATTAAATAACAATTGAAAAACATTATGTAGAGATTGAGAAATATTATTGTAAGCTATACATCAAGAGGTTCTAACTTTCTTTAAAACAGTTATGCTAAAAATTATATATACGAGTATATATTGAGCCTAATGGGGTCTAACTAAAAGGCTATCCATGGGAATGAACCCCCGATGACCCCCTGGATTTATACTTTTAGTAATAACTAGCTTTCCGCCCGCGGCTTCGCCCGCGTGGAATTTCGTTTGTTAAATTTTCCTGGATTTTTTTTGCTATAAACCTCATGGAGCCCGAGACCTTTCCAACGAATGCAAAACCGTCGAAATCGGTTCGTGCGTTCTGGAGTTATAGCGTCAGGAAGGAAAACCCGACTTATTTTTATATAGTAGATTACAATACAAACAGATAATGCTCAAAGTAGAATCAAATAATATAATAAAACCGCTGGGATTACCCAAACCCGATAACATAGCAAAAACGGGGGACGATGATGGGCAGGTTATTTTTATTAATCGGATCTAATTAAACGTAGCGGTTAGATTAACTAACAAGCTACCTTGAATCCTCTGATTACTTGAGGCAACAAACCACTGGACGGATCGGGCTGAAATTTGGCATGTAGGTAGATGTTATGACGTAGGCATCCGCTAAGAAAGGATTTTACGAAACTCCACCCCTAAGGGGGTGAAACGGGATCCACGCGTACGAAGTCGCGGGCGGCCGCTAGTTACTAATATTGCGTAGACCCGTAGACAGATAGACAAACACATCTCACATTTTCTCATTAGTAAATATACTAAAAGTTGTACGGAGAAAGTTGTGCACTATGACTGAGTTGTTTTGTCAAGTGGAAATTCCAAATATGTAGTTTTGTGTGTTTGTTTATTTAATGTACTATGTCTAAAAATGTTAGAGGGAGGAACAAAACCAAAACTATACAGTTAATAAATGACTCTACCAAAATACCTATGTCATAACATAGTACATATAGCTACTCATGCTACCATTCAGGACACTAGGAAGTCGTAAATAAAATATCATTTTAATCATAATAGCATTTCGTCAAATAATGATGATTACCATTTAAGTTTCTAAACCAATATACTAAATAGGTTTTCCCGTTCGGCTTAGTCATGACAGTTACTGCTAAAAATCACAAATACTCGCACCTAAATGCATCATGTTTCTTAAAAGCTTACACTTGGAAATAAACCTGAATGTTTTGAAAGCAGTCATAACAATACATGAGTCACCACTCTGACGCACCTTTATGAAAAAGAAATGAGTATATTATTGCTACCTAAGTTAAAATATACTTTTAATATTTTCTGTTGCAATGAGGCCACTTTATGAAACAGATGCGATACGAGTAAATTTTTAATGCACATGCATTTAATCTACACATATCATCTACTGCAAACTTAAGTTACTTATAATGAACCGTTTTTAAATTCCAGATAACTCAACAACAGCACCAAAGCTGATCCCATACCCAAGTTGGGCAGCTCACTCCACGGGGTCGGATGGGAAACCTCCAGAAATCATCTCACCTTTCCGAGTTCGTGCTGACCGCTGCGGCCGCCTCTGGGTCCTCGACAACGGAAAGATTGGAAACCTAGAGAACAACACCATCAAATATCCACCCTCCATCATCATCTACGACCTCAAAACTGACAACCTCATCAGAAAATACGTCTTCCCCGATGACCAAGTCAAAGAGGACTCCGGTTTCGCAAACATCGCCGTTGAAGACTCAGACTGCGCGAAGACCTACGCCTACGCTGGCGATGTAGGAAAAGCTGGCATCGTCGTCTACTCATTCGATAAGAACGAGTCCTGGCGCATCACTCACCACTACTTCCACCCAGACCCATTGGCCTGCGACTTCAGCGTAAAAGGCCTCAACTTCAACTGGACAGACGCCATCTTCGGCATCGGAATTTCAGCCCCAAATGCTGACAACTTCAGCACTTTATATTTCCACCCCATGGCTAGTTACAACGAGTTTTCTGTATCAACAGAGTACTTGAGGAACCAATCTATAGCTGATGCCAATTTTGACGCATTCAAGGTTTTGGGTAATAGAGGCCCTAACGCACAATCCAGCGCATCATTTTTGGACCCTAAAACTGGGGTCCTCTTTTATTCTCTTGTTAACCTCAATGCTGTTGCCTGCTGGAGGACCTCAAACAAAGAGTACAACATGGTGAATCAGGGAAGAATTTACATGAACGAAGACACGATGGTGTACCCCACAGACATCAAGGTAGACTACAACGACAGTGTTTGGATTCTATCAAATCGGCTACCTATCTGGATGTACAGCAAATTGAACCCTAATGAAGTCAACTTTAGGGTGTTTTCGGCTCCTGTTCTGGATGCCATAAGTCACACAGCTTGTGATGTGACTCCTAGGTCTGATATTTTGGATAAATATAAGAATAAGTTTTTGAACATTACCAATAAGATTGCCTCAAAGTTCAGGCCGAATTCTGCGCCGTCGTTAGCTGTGCCATTTGCTGTGATCTTATGCAGTTGGGTATTGTCTATGGCTTTATATTGAGTGTAAATAACAAACTTTGTGTGCAAAGTATTAGTGAGGAATATAATTTTGACGTTACCGCTTTATTTATTGTGATCCAAAAGCAGTCTTTCGTTGGTTTTTTCGTACTTATCGAATGTTTGTGCCTTTGCAAAAGTGATATTGTGTTGTAAGCTGCTTAATTAAGCAATCTTGTATTTCATTTATATTGTAAATATCTAATTATAGGCGTAATTAAGCTTTAATTGTGTTTTACTCGTATCATTCCTTTGATGTGTCCTTGTAAGTTTAATTCTATTAGATATTTATTGTTAGGGAGATAGTAGAGATTGGGTTAAAATATTGGAACTTGTAAAAGCTTATTAATAGCCTAATAGTTAAATAATAATTTTATTCAAAAAGATTTGGATTCGATGAACTACTTTTAATGTAGAGTAGCGTCATCTTTTGTAAGTCGTTTGTAATAGAGCCAACGCAAAAATACTCTGAAACAACCGCTTACCAATGGGCACAGATGTCGCTAGTTTAGTCCATTGCAATGTTCACCTTACAAGTTACTAACTAAAATACTTGCATGTGAAAATACGAAATGTTCTCCAAAATTTGACTATTTTAAACCTATTGCACATGATATTCTTATAACTGCACCACCACATTTTAGGTAATTTTCATTCAGTTGATTTTAAGTGGTGCTGGCGGTGTTCTAAATTAATTGTTGAATTAATTTCCATGGTTATTTATAGCTCTTTCGTCTCCATCGAAGTGTCAAATCGATACAGTCATATACATATTAACAAGTGTCATAATGTCCATGGATAAATCCCCGATAGCCTTTGAAGTGGCCGATGAGATAGCAAGCTGATTCATTAACAAAATTACACGGCAGAAACAGAACATGTGTATCTGCCATTCTCCTTGATGGATTTAGTCCACTGGTTCACTTTCCAAAATCATTTCTAATAGTAAAACTAATCTACGAGTAAGTATAACATTATCGCACGTAAATAGACTACATCGAGGTTATTATAACAAAGAATCGAATAATCAATATTATGATATGATTATAGCTCTACATAAAATTTAGAATTCGCTGCCTGCTGGTGTCTTTCCTGAACACTATAATCCAGGCCTTTTCAAGGCGAGAGTGAATAGGCACTTACAGGGCAGATATGTACCTACCATCCTAGACTGCATCACACTTAACACCAGGTGCGATTGCGGTCAAATACCTGCCTTGTCTTGCATAAAAAAAATAACGACAATCTTCCACAATAAGCATGTGGGCAATGTTCTATTCGAACTAAAGTCGCTGACATAAGTAGCCCGACGGATTAGCAAGTTGAAGTGGCAATGGGCAGGGCACATAGTACGCAGAACTGACGGCCGATGGGGCAGCAAGGTTCTGGAATGGAGGCCGCGTATCGGAAAACGCAGCGTGGGACGTCCACCTACAAGGTGGACCGACGACATCGTAAAGGTAGCAGGGAAGCGCTAGACGCAAGCCGCTACCAATCGATCAACATGGAAAGAATTGGGGGAGGCCTATGTTCAGCAGTGGACGTCCTATGGCTGAAATGATGATGATGATGAATGTTCTATTACGATCAATAAATTAGTCCTAAGAAAAAATATGTACCCCTCTGCTTGTACTTGTCTGTCTTGTTGGTTGTCCTAAATAAATAAACAAATGAATAAATAAATTACATCTTAAATGAATATTCAACACATACTTTTATTTTATGCAAGCGTACGTCTAAATATATTTATTAGTAAAATGCCATAATGCTTAATGCTTAATCCTATCCTGAAGTACAGGCAGAAGGTACTAATATATCCCGTATCATTCTTTATCATTAAACGATATGTGGCCCCTATAAATTTGTCTTCAACCTCTATCAGTTTTGGACATACAGTTTATAAAAGTGACACTGGTTGGTCACACATACGTTACATGGTTACTATGATGTGATGAGTGTGTACAAAATGAATTAGAGTGCGAAAATGACTGTGTTACCGGAAAGTAAGGTAAGATAAGGTTAATTTAATTGTTATGTTACAAACAGAGAAAGGTTAAAATGAAGACGTATATCCTAATTTTAGGACTTAGCATAAAAATAAATCAGAGAAGTGATGAGACAAACATGATTTGTAATCAATTAAAATAGTCGTTGCAGATGGCTCTTTTCAGCAAAAATGATTATTTTATTTCAAAATCCACAAGGTTTTTTATTACAATAAATTGACTTTAAATTATTATCATGTGTAATTGAAAAATAATTTTACTCTAAGTTGCCAGAGAAATAGTGAATCAATACCTCTACATCAAAACCAGACAAAAAAAGCTAAAATGTAACTCTTGTATAATGTAATGCTCTTTTTCATTACTGAAGGAAAAACAAGCATCTGGTTTAATTACTAGTAGCTCAATTTTTATAGCAAGTTGAGGAGCCAGCAGGCACCATAAAGGACAAATGCGTGAACTGCTTGAAAGGATCGAACCTGATAAAGACGGTGGTGGTGATCGTGTGCGTCGGGGTCGTCATACAACAGGTAAGAAAGTTACAACAAAAATTATGAGAGTATTAGACGCTAAGTGATTGCATAAATTGGAGAGCTTATATACGACAAGTAATATAGAGATACTCCATGCACTATACATACGAGTATAACTGACTAATAAAATTCATTCAACAATGAAAACGCTACAATTTAGGTGGTATTTTTTAATGCAAGACATGTGCAGGTATTTGACCGCAATCGCACTTGGTGTTAAGTGAGAGTGTCTAGGATGGGTTATCGCTGGGAAGGGATCTTCCAGGTATCCCAAACAATAATATTTAAAAACGTCAACTGTACACACGGCCACAGTGTGCCGATAGTACATTAAATTACTTACATAATCAGTCAGTTAAATTATTGAACGCTTTTACTTTACCATTCTTTTAGATTTGGGATCAATAGGCTCCTGTATAGTAGACATAAGTGCTGATTTCTAACTATTTAATTTGATTTAACAGATAGTGACTTGCATCAACAAGCTAATTGACATACCGATAACGACGTACACCCACTTCGACTTCAACAGAACCCTCGTTTACCCGAGCATCACTTTTTGCAGGGAGCCACCTTATAAATTTGACAAAATGCTGGTAAGTAAACTCTATTTTAGAAGCAAATAGTACATAAGAGTGCACAAGAAAGGCTGCAGTGCGGGAGGAATGGCGACGGATTGTGAGGCTTGCCACCGGACCGGGTGTGACGACCACGACCACTCTGGCAAGAGTGTAGCGAAGAAGAAGAAGAAGAATTACATAAGTAATTCATTTGTCTCAAAAATCAATCGCTCAGAACATTTAACTGTTATGAAACTAAGGTAATTTCCATTAATTTCCGAAATTCCGTCTATCTTGTTTTACCATATTCCATCATCATCATCATCATCAAGTTTTAACCTTGACTGCAGGAAGAAGACTAGTATTTTACCAGAGACAACACTCACTCATTTTAGATCAAGTAAATTAATTTTTAACCACAACGAGGAAGCTCTTAGTTGTTGCAATTCACGAAGGCGAGTGAGCTTTACATGTGTGGTGGCTCGCTACTGTTCATTTTTCAAAAGTTTTGATAGACATTCCACTATCGTCATATCGTTATGTGCATGTACACGTACACATACAAGTAAAACTCACTCGCCTTCGTGAGTTGCAAGAACTTAGTCTGCATCTGCAACACCTCTGATGGCAACACGCCACGGGATCATGATGAAGAGTATGTGATCTATTCTGTTATAGTTTTCCTTATTTTAGGAGTATGGCCTGATAACGCACCCTGTGCTCACAAGCGCGTGGCGTAATTTCAACTTCTCTGCCGTCCCCCTGGACAAACTTTGGAAGGACATCACGTATGAACCCGAGGAATTCTTTGCGCAGTACGGGTTGAATGGAGAAATGCACAGTAAGGAATGATGTGACCATTTTCAGATAAGTATTTTATATGAATGACGACTGAAAGAAAGAAAAAAAGAAATTATTTCTTTAACTTACACCAATGACTGACGCTTTTCATTGGGAAAATTAGCTAAGTAGGGACAGGAAAAATTTACATTGTTTTTGTCCAATTCAGATGTAGAAGTTAAAGAAAGTATAGGGTTCATGTTTGGCCGCTGCTACACCCTCACTCCCAAGATCCTCAGCACCAGAGCGACAAGGGATACAGGGCTCTCCATCACGCTTCAGTATGATTCCAAGGATGCGGCTACATCGGTCAGCATTCACCCGCCAGGGTACCACGCCTACATCCATTACTCGAGGGAACCATACACAGGTAAGACTGATTGCTCTTCTTAGTATATGGATGTAAAATTTTAAGCTTGAACGAGGGAGACAGGGCTTTTCATCACCCTGCTGTACAATTCCAAGGACGCGATTTGTCAGTTTTCGTCCGTCACGTACCACGCCTAGATCCATTATTCGAGGGAACAGTACACAGGTAATATTGATACATCATCATCATTTTAGCCGAAGGACTACTGGTCTCCACAAAGACCCAAGCATTCTCACAACGACACTGATTCCACATCCAGCCGCTTCCCGCGATCTGCACCAGTTAGTTGGTCCACAGAGTGGGAACCCTGCCAACATGACTAAAGTCTGTTCGCCGAGAGTTGATAAATATTATGAAATGTCTTGCAAAGCTGCAATAGCGACTGTTGCGCGGGCGTCGTTTGTCACAACGCGCACTGAGTACCATGGTACGAGCCACGCAGCTGTCGTCAAGCACCCCGGCCGGCGGGCGGCGGCGGCCACAGCGTGACCACTTTTAGATTTCTACTTTTTTGGTAGATTTGAGGCAAAGAGAACGATGATTTAGTAGTGCGAAATCGTTTAGTAGATTTTGGTAGATAATTGGTATTTTTAGAACATTCTTATAAATGGTAGTCCAAAATTAAATTGTAACCGAGCTGAGAATCCAGGCCAAAAAAAAGGCCAGGCCAAATAATCTACCAACTTTTTCATTATATCGACAAAAATAATTAGCGGGCCGCAATTTATAATGAGTTTAGAACCTCTGATATTTAATTTTTTTTATCAACTCTCGGCGAACAGACTTTAAGTTTATTTATTTATAGGGTTTGTTCGAAATACATCACCAGAATGTCATTTACTTCTTTTCGGTACTAGTTACAAAGGGAATAATTATATTTTCCTTATAGAAGTAGCAGTGTACAACGGGGGTCTCATAGACTACTTGTACTGCAAGGTGGGAGAGACCATAGACGTGAAGTTGTCCGTGAACAAGTACGTCATGATCAGTGATGACAATGAACCCTGTGCTAGCGAAGACAGCTACAGTGCTAACACTGTAAGTATTAAAATAATTACCCACGTACGTTCAAACTGTGGATCTCAAGAAGATAGCTGGCTGACACTTGATGAAAAAAGCTAAAGATCGGGGCTTAACGACACTTTTCAGGGCAGGCTTAAATTTAGTAGTAGACTGCCATTTACTGAACTGATTATAATGTCGCAAAGTTTACAGTTGTATTGTCTATCAGTCACAAAAGAATTAATACCTATCATTGTACTTATCATCGCCGAGTTTTCCTATTCTCTTTCATGTGATTTTTCAGTGCACTACAAAATACGTATGGGATGAAGTGGGCCAAATAGCGGGGTGTTCAGGGCCGTGGATGAAAAGCGACTTACCGCCTTGTGACAACTTTCAGTCAATGAGGGACCTAATCGTTGCTTACACGCTGTAAGTATTCTGGCAAGTTATAAATGTACAGCACCACGAAAAAAACCAAGTCCCTTTCAGACCTTCAGGTCTCAGGTCAGGTCATGATGAAGGAGGTTCATTCATGATACGAACGTGAGGTAGAACTTTAAGGCTGAATTGCACCACCTAACTATGACCGTAACTTTGACGATAAACGGTGCTTTTTATGTATGGATTTTGACAGATTTTTGACGTTTGTCAAAGTTAAAGTCAAAGTCAAAGCAAAGAAATGCCACGATAGCCGAACGGTGAAGGAGTCGGACTGGCCGACTCGTGATCCCGGGAACGCGGGTTCGGTCCCCGCCGCCGCTCGACTGTCGTGGTGAGCTCACTCGTGTCGTGATACTAACATATTTAGCTTAGTACGAGGGGCTACCGGGAGTAATAGTAATTTGTGTAATAACAAATGACTAATAATCTTTTATAAAAAAAAATGATGGTGCAACCCAGCCTAAGAATCTTAAACTGTCCACATCGAGTTAAGATTTGAGTAGGAATTTATGGTCGAATGCTGTTTCACAATGACCAAACTGTTGTTACAAGAGTTAAAGTCCACTCATAAAAACGAGTACCTATGTCTTCATTAAAATCTTTGCAGTCTCCCAAAATGCGAAAGAATCACAACTAGTATGAACTTTTTAACTTGTAATCTTCTCGTCTTCTTCAGACGGTACCAAGCGCACAACTGCAGCAGCTGCCCTCGATACTGCACTTCGTACCTATACAACGGCTTCGTGACAGACCGTCACATGCTAGAATGGGACGTGATAGAGAACAAGTGGACCAGCAAAACTGGCGGCTCTGAATTTCAGACTCAGGTAGAAAAGTGTATTCGGTTATGTTTTGATTTTGGTAACGTAATGGTGACGTAATTTCATTAATAAGCACTGGGTAATTTACTGACGATTACCCACTTCTACGCCCGTATTCACAAACGATACTTGCTTAAGTGAAGCAGCAAATCGAACGCACAGAGTTGAATAGAGTTCTGTGATTGGTTCGTGTGCGTGCACGCGCACTGTGAGACCTCATAGTAACGTTTGTGAATACGGGCGTTACTTAGTCCCAGATTTTCAATATTGCTGATTTTTTTAGCGCTGCGCTAGCGCTAATCTATTCTAAAGTCTAGTCCAGGTTTGACATTTTTCATTCATGTTTAAGATAACTTTAGAAGGATTATAATGCCTCATGTGGACAAAGCTTGAAACAACGACCTATCAAATGAAAATTTTGGCTCCAGGCAAGTCGCACTAACTTTCAGTCTGATTCTATCATCAGGTCATTTAGTCTCCACTGCAGGAGCACGACCCTCTCTAATGCATCAGAGACAAAAAAAGGAGGATTTTGCCACTCCCTACGCTGGCCAGACCGGTGGGGGAGGTTATTTATGTTTAAATTCAAATTCAAAATTATTTATACGAATAAAAATTCTATTTTGCAGCTTTTCGTGTACTTCAACAACATGATGGTGTCAGTTTATGAAGAACGGTATAACTACGATTGGAATCTGTTTCTGTCGGACCTTGGAGGCAGTGTAGTAAGTATGAACTATAGTACTCCCAAGCAGGATCATAGTTTATCAAAAGTAAATGCTATAAAAACACTAGGTGACACAGCATTGCATAGTGGAGAGCACATCAGCCTGTACATAGTTTACAAGATCTAAGAAGGAGATTGTCAAGAGAAAATATTGTTCTAATACATAAACACTTGGCAGCATTGTACATACATTCGATAGCACATCTATATTTATAAAAAAGTGAAAGGTCACTGATTGACTGACTGTCTCACTCACTCATCACGAAATCTCAGAAACTAGTTACAAGTGCTAGGAGTCTATTTTGCATGGGGGTTCCTTTTAGAACGTAGGTGACACTAAGAAAGGATTTTACGAAACTCCACTCCTAAGGGAGTAAAACGGGATCCACGCGTACGAAGTCGCGGGCGGCCGCGCGGCAGATTTTAAATATCAAATCAAATCAAAATAGCACCTTATTACTACTAAATAAGACACTTCAGTGTTGACCTTGATGCGCCGTCGTCTGTACTGCCTATTTATATACTACTCTTACCTTTATTTTTCCATTCCCAGGGCTTTCTTCTAGGCCTCTCCGTGATCGGCCTCATGTCGATCTTCGGGAAGATCTGGAATTCCATCATCAAGCCTTACTTCCAGACTCCGAAGACCAGGGAAGACGTCCAGGTACCAACTATGACTCCTGCCTCTGAAGACATCTACAAGAAAAAAGAAATGTATGATTATTGCAAAACTATTAATTGGAAGAATTTATACAATTAGAAGAATTTATTTATTTAGCAAGTGTACCTTTAAAAGGCAGTTCACTATAATATGCCGAACAAACAACCCTACGCACTTATTTAAGTTTTCTAATAATCAATAATGAAAATAAATTGTAACCAATGCATTGCACTATAATCTTTTATTGCCTAATTTCTACTAGTACGTACGTATTAAAGGCCTTTTTTATTTAAGGCGTCAACTTTCTTAAATTCCATTTGTATTGAAATACTAATACAAACTACATACATTCACAGATCCGGAAGAAATAATGTAAATAGAACACTAAAACACTATTTTATAGTGATTTAATTTACCTATAGGCATAAAATCATCCCAAGCTCCATACCGTTCAACGTTGTTTCATTTGGAGAGATTGTAGAGTGGAAACCGAAGATTTACGATCGTATTTGTTTTCATTACCGCGTTTTGTTCAGGAATTTCAGATATTTATATCTTATAAAAATCGATGCCAGCTTTTCAGCGTAAGGTTTCATAATATAAGTTACTGAATGGAGGCACGCACAATTTAGGTGGTTTTATCGTTGGAGAGCAATATTTTCCAGCCAAGCAAACCCCAGGAAAACTAAAAAAATCTAATGATCCACAAAATTATCCGCTACAGTACCTACATTTAAAAAAATGAGTTTGTATAGCTATAGCTAGTGTTGAAGGTCGCGGGAAGAACCTGGATGTGGGGGGCGCAGGACCGATCGCTATGGATCTCCTTGGGGGAGGCCAAGGAGCAGTCCAGCAGCGGATGTCATTTGGATGAAACGAACGATTGCTAGAGGCGTAGGGTTCGCTGGAAAGATCTGTAAATACGTAAAAGCTCCTTGTATAGCTAAATAAATTAAGTCTCAATATTATTCGCAGTCCACACGTCAGTCCGTAGAAAGATTTACGCTCTTACGTCATCAGCTTTGATCTTCTGTAGTGGATAGAAGTCTAGACGTAGATGCTTCTTGATGGTGAAGGTCAATAGATATATGCTTAAGTATCTATATTTTGCAATATGGATAGTAAAATAGATCATAGAAGTATTTATTCATTGGAATTTTAGTCGCTGTTACCATTACTTTATTGAAGGCCAATGTCAAGGACTTTGAACATTTCATGGCTGAAGTATTTTGTGAACTAGTGAGGAAATAAAATGGTTTAACTATCACCAAATATCCCTATAAATTATGCAGATTTTGCTCTATCTAAGCCCGAAGATAAAAAAATTGGATAAACTGTCTAGTCAATTTAATAAACATGGACAATAAACATTTATAGGTAATTAATTCCAGGTATATGCGCACTAGCGCATGCGTACTCATCATACTAACATTTGTCTCCTGAGGGATCTGAACCCTACACCACATCTAGCTTCCTTCATTCCTACATTTCTGAGCCAGGCAGAAGTCATAGACAGTTTATAAACGTTTAGTCATAAACGTACAAATTTTTATTCTCTTTTAAATGAATGACAATCTGTTACGGCGCATAATAATCAGTTTCATAGCTAAGGACTTGACCTTACAGGTTCATCCACACTAGGTCGAAATCAATAATAATAAATTGTAATACAGCCATTAGTCACCGGGTTTGCTCTACTATAGCGATCTATTTGCATCAATTGCACTCTTGGCAGGTGCCTCCAGTTGCATTGCTTTGACGCATACCGAGACACGGTGCGGGCTTAGTGTAATAGCGAGGAGTGATAAAAACTTTTTAGCCTCTTCATTTATCTAAAGTTGAAGGTAGGTTATAGGAACAACTTGAGTTTCATATCGTTTTGGAAAAATAATGATGGTTTCGAGAAAAAAAATCAAACCCATGGATTTGTGAACTAATCTAGGCGGTCAAAGTTGCGGGTAAAGCTTTTATCACTCGTTTGTCACAAAAGAAAGAGGAAATATTTAATTTCCCATTCTATTTCCCTATAAAAGTTGAATTTTGGACTGGTTCAATATATCGTTCTACATTATTTATGGAATAAATTACTTTCTTCTTCTTCTTGTAGTGTCGACAACAAACCTACACAGCGTTAACCCAAAACTCCGCCACAAGAGTGGCGTTGTCAGTACCCTTCATTAAATCTTCCTGCGTGCAGTTGTTTGGGCACACAGGGCAGGACATTATGTGTCCCGATGTGGCAAGCAATAGGAATGTAGATTTGGGACGTGTATTAATGTCCTGAAAGGGGCCTAGGTACATAACAATAAAGTGTTTGAATTTAAATTAGTTATAATAAGTAGTTATCCGCTTTTACTTTGCACTGTGGTATAGACCTACGTATTACTCACTATCGAACCATGTCGATAACCTAAATAAGTGACAGCCTATTTATTTGACGAGACTAATAATTGGTGATCAACCTATTTTTATTTGTAATTATTATAGTAATTAAATTTTCTGCATTCTAATAATCATTATAAAGATGTGGCTATTTTATTCTTTGTTGCTCTGAGAAATTGATTAATGGCTTTTATGATTATTCGAAATTATGAAAACAATGTTAGATAGTAGTTTTCTGGCAAAGTTTTAAAGCTTTGAATAGCCAAGCACAATTATGAAAGTAATTGCATTTCAATGGTCTGTAATATGCAATGCACCTGAGACAGTTCAACATTTTTTGACGCATCGCAACGCATCGCATAACAATGCGATCCCCAAGTGATTACTGCATCGAGTTTAATTTTAACACATCATAAAGATAAATCTGGGCGTATTCTTGTGGAGCCGAGACGTAAATAGCGCGTGCGCACCTCTGATTCATTGCGGCGATTTTGCCGATAATTTCCTTGAGACAGCTTAAAATTCCTTATGTCACAACAATAAAAACAATCTTCATCCAGGTGGTCTCGTAATACAAGAAAAATAAAAATATTTAAATGAAATTCTACTAGTAACACTCGTCGGTAAAAAGTAGCGATAATGTTTTGTAAAATGTCCAAGAAAACTATCCACAAGCTCTAGTTTTCACGAGTGAATGTGAATGAATGCATGACAAACTGTTCACTGTTGCATCTAAAATTTTAAATATGTTGCTGTTACTTACGAGTATCATTATCTTGAAAAGAAAGTAGTGCATTACAAAGCTTAATTTGAAGTTATGTGTAATCAATTTTATTTTGTGCAATAGTAAGTAAATGTGTCTTTACGCTATGTCACCAATGAATGAAATAAAGTCATTTACATAGGCCCAAACAATGGAATGTAAAATAAGGTAGTTTGAATTGAATCCCACCTGAGGCAGTAATCTTTTCGGTGTTCAATAAATCCATATTATATTTTTTCACGGTTTAAAGACGCCCTGAAATTCAAAACTCCCTGAAGATATGACTTAGGAAAGCCAAAGTGACCGATATAGCCCGCAGAATTGCTAAAATCAAGAGGCAGTGGGCGGGGCACATAGCTTGTAGAGACGATGGCCGTTGGGGCAGAAAAGTTCTCGAGTCGACCACGGGCTGGTAGACGTAGAATGGGCAGGCCCCCCCACTAGGTGGACCGACAATCTGGTGAAGGTCGCGGGAAGAACCTAGATGCGGCAGCGCAGGACCGGTTGTTATGGAAATCCTTGTCTTTGTCCAGCAGTGGACGTCATTTGGCTGAAACGAACGAACGAACTGACTTAGCATTTTATTTGTTCTACGAATCGCAAATGTAATCGCGCGCTAAGCTCCCGAGTTGGCTGCGCGTGAGTCGAACGTTTCCTCGTTCGAGCGCGGTGAGAAATGTTTTTCGGGAGCGTTACGTGGCAAATTGGAAGACGAATGCTCGTCCCAACACATTCTGAAATGTGTTTAAAGAAATATTTTCGTTTTACGATTTTGCGCGACGTCAAAAGTGTATAATTTAATTATAAATGCACGCTAAGTAATTTAATGTCTTGAAAATTAGTGTTTTAATTATGAATTGCAAGCTTGTTCCTGTGTAATATTACATATCTTCTATTAATTTAACGTTTGGTTGTTACATTACTATACATTTTCATTAATGTAATGAAATATTTTCAGTTGTATTTTCCTTTATTTTTAAGTACTTTTCACGCTTTAACCCATCCACATCCCAACACTCCAAGCGGTTGCATAACTCCTTGTAACAATTGATTTCTATTGTGTCCCGATTCTCGGGGCTTGAAGGGTTAACATACAAAGAGAGATCACAGCTAACTTGAACATCAAATTATTTGCGTAAATTTTGAATCAGTATAATTCTAAATCCAAAACCCTAGCCACATTTTAACAGCAAAAAGATGATGCTGATGAGCTGAATCAAATCAGAAAACAATCTTTCAGATGTAGAGTCACCGCTAAAAAATGTACGGCACCGGGTAACTAGCGCAAGTGACTAAGTGTTTACATGAATAGATTTAGCTATTTAGACGTATCTGGGCAAGCCCACGGCTCTGTCCTTCCTACCGCGCTAAATATAGGGCAAGGAACTAAATTGGTCAGGCTTGTAGGGCTGTCAGTACTTTGGGTATAAGACTGAGACTAAACGGCTGTTTGTCTCTTGTGGTTTCGGGTTTGAATCCCGCTGGGGTTAATGTTAGTGTGGCCATGAGAATGGATCATTTGTTCCCTATGCTCACGGGAATATCTAGAAGATTTTAAATGTTGTTTTATCTAAAATGGCGACAACACTGAAAAATTCCTATTCTATCCGTATAGTATAATTAAATTAATCATTTTTGTTTAAAAAGCATCCTTTTGGAATATTCTGAGCTGCGTGCTTTTAAAAGCATACGGGAAATTTTGGTAAAGTAGGCATCCCTACATGTACGTGCGTTCCGCGTTTGTCATGGCGTGACGTCACATAACGACAAATTTAGAAGCGCTTACAGACCCAGTTTTATTTATTAATTTAGGTATTGTTGCCAGGACTACCTACTCCATGATTTAAGAATACCCAATCGGTTCAAAGAAATTAAAAAGAAAACCAAAGTAATATGCATGATGCAAGATAATGTGGCAGTTGACTGGCCATATCTGCTGCAGAATCGATGGTAGAGAAGAGAACTATGATACCGTGGTTGCACCATCTTAATTTAACTTTGACAAACATCAAAAATCTGTCAAACTCCTTACAAAAAACACCGGTTATCGTTTTAGTTACGGTCAAAGTTAGGTGGTGCAACTCAGCCTTAGTACAAGTATTAGGACAACCCCCAGCTTAATGTAGCGACAATCTGAAGAAAATAGTTGGCAGTGGGAAATTGCTAGATACTTATTACATTGAGAACAAGTAAAAAGGGAAAGAAAACACAATGATGAACACATTTGTCAAAATAATATTAATGCAACTATTAAATAATGAGAGTAATTTTATGAAGCTATTTTTTTAGTAAAAACAACAAGAATAACAAAAGAAGCAAAGCAAAAAACAATTAAAATCTTCAACAATCATTAATGTTATTGTATTCCTTCAGTATTTCCAAAATAATTGGCTCGTACAAAACTTTGTGCGTGTCTCTGCCAGCTACAAAATCTAAGTGATTGAATTTCTCAGGCTCCAGTATGATGTCTTTGCGGACATTGGGCAGCTTCGTCTTGAGCAGGTCCACATCCAGTAACGTTGACGTCTGATCATTCTTCCCCGAAATCAGAACAATGCTAATATTATTTTTACTCAAGTCATATTCTTTAGGTTTTGAACACCCATACCTTATTTCGTTCTCCGTTGGACCGTAATCATATTGGGCGAAGGTTCTAGACAATAAAATCTGGTCCTGATGAATCAAAGTCCGGCTGGAGCTCGACGAAGGCCAATGTTGACAAACCAAAGGAGCAAATTCAGGCTCCAATTGCTCCTCGTCGTACCCCATAATTGGGAAGAAGATTGGTAAAACGCAATTTTCGTACGCCTTAGCTGGAGTCGAGCATCTGATCCTGTAGCGAGCAACTGTGGTCGAATTTTCTCCAAACACCTCGTACTGGTCTGTCAGTTTCGTTTCATTCCCATAAATTGTATCACTATTTTTCTGGCCAATAAGATCAAGAGGAATGGAATGTTGGAAGTAACAAATAGGAGCGAATGATATCATGACGTCTATTTTTTTGTTGTATTCCGGTTTTTCAGCTCCAAGTACGTAGTAGACCGTGGTTCCGAGGGACCATGCTATGGCGCTCAATGTTGCCGCTTTTGTTCTATTAAGGATATAGTCGATCATAGCCGGGGCATCGTAAATGGCGAATTCGTGGAAGGAGAAGTTCCAGAATTCGTCGTCTAAATCAGGGTTGAGTGTGACGTGGCGGCGCCCGTAGCGGCAACCACGCACGTTGGCCATCCACACGTCATATCCAGCTTGCCATAGGACATACGGCAGTGACGTAGTCCCCCTGGTTATGTAGTCATCTGACGTCCCCAAGTTCCCGGATTGGACGAGAACAGGATGGCTTTCGTTTCCCGGAATGTGAAAAATTGTGAGAATATACCCATCTTCTGTGGTAATGTCCACCTGCTCGCAAGGTAGACCGGCCTTTTCTGCGAGCTGAGTGAAGTTCGGTGGTATTATTGGTATGATAGCATGGGATGTCACCTCTGCCTGGCAGCCGCGGGTATAAAAAAGGAAAAATATAATTTTAATAGCTTGTGATAGCGCCATGTCGCTTGTATAAGGTACCTAGTTATTAACTGAACTGTTGTGAAGGCTGCCATCTTTTTTATAGACAATGCTATAAAGGTTATGCATGACTGATACACCTTTGTCATGGAAGTATAACAGGATTTTATTTTGCAATTGATTGTATTTATGGTATTCAGAACAACAATAATGTTTTTAAAGTAAGGCAATTATAGCTAGAAAGTATAGAAAGTCTGTTAATTAACATATGAATCAAGTGGCCGCCCTTGACTCGACTTCGAGTTCAACGTATAGTTTATTTCAATATGGTTTTTGTTTTGGAAGATTATTTGATATCTACCAGTATTTGTAAACAAGAAATAAATCAACATGTATATTCTCGTCTGTGTTGATAGTTAGTTAACAATAGAACCTTTTAATACTAATTTTAAGTTAACAGAACCTACACTACACATACGGTACATAGCTTATTCGGAGGGGTTAACGACAAATCATGGACTAATAACCTTACGCCCGTATTCACAAACCATGCTTGCTAATGTGAAACAGCAAATCGATCGCACAGCGTTGAATAGAGCTCTGTGATTGGTTCGTGTGGCACTGTGAGACCTCATAGTAATGTTTGTGAATACGGGCGTTAGAGCCACTACCAAAAAATGGCAAAATTGGAAATAAATCATTGGGGGAAGGCCTATGCTCAGCAGTGAACGTCTAGCTGCAGTGACTAATAACCATTTAAAAAAGAAGGTTCTTAATAAAAAAGCTATTTTAACGACAGTGTAACCGGGCTTTGTCACCTTTTAGCATCCGGGCATCAAAGATTTTAAAGTTTATCTTATTTGCAGAGTTATCTCGAACACCATCCGTGGCTAACGTTGGCTGCCGTCCACGCGTTACAAAATTAAAGACCAACGGGAAAAACATAGAATTTTACCTCACATAATATAAATTATTTGTGTCCGGGCCGCGTAGAAAATACACACACAATTCTAGTAAATTACTCGTAATATAGAAAAAAATGTAGAGACGATGCTGAGTTGAAAGTTGTAGAAGATGATTTAAAACTCATCGTCATAATTTCCACCACTGCTAAACATAGTCCTCCTCCAATGATTTCTACATCGCCTGATTGGTAGCGGCCTGCATCTAGCGCCTTCTTGCGCGTCAGTCTAACTTGTGAGGTCGTCAGTCTACTTTGTGGGTGGATGACCCACGTATTTTGCATTTAAAACTAAAATACAGCCATATTGAGGATCTATCTCATTGAATTTTCTAGTTTTTAGTCTAGTCTAGAAGATTTAGATGATGGTGATATCAGTGAGCATCTACTTATAGGCTGATAACAATTTGTACAAAAATGATTTCAGTTCAACTCTACAGTCTACACACCGAGGAGTTTCAGTTTATTAGGAATATTCTACGTTTTATTCGTTCACTTCTCTAGACACAATCGTAATAGATTGAAAACATATTTTAGTAACGATCTCGCTTGTTTGCGAAAAGATAATTTTAGAACATTCAGTGCCATAAATCTAGACCAAATGGCTTGGTAGGCTCTATGTGTTAGGGTTAAAATAATTTACAGCATCTACAATATATATGTAAAGTCTGAATATCGATAACTGGGACATGGATAAATAATTATAAATATTCTCTTTGACATAATGAGACCAATCAAGAGCTTTTGGCTTCTCTCAATTATTTACGTCATAGTTTTTACGAATTTTGCATTTAATCTAATCTAACATTAATGTAGAGCACATTAATGTTAGACTAGATTTAAATTAATTAGCTGTAAGTTAAAAAACAATCAGACTTTCAGTGCCCTGACATTGAGCATGGTTGATAAAAAAAAGTTAGCCGCTTTTGACTTCGTCTATCTATTGTTATATTTAAATTCCTCCTCATAATTCTTACAGTTCATATCCCATATAGATTTTTTTTTTATGTGACAGGAGGCAAACGAGCAGACGGATCACCTGATGGTAAGTGATTACCGTCGCCCATAGACACCCGCAGACCCAGGGGCGTTACAGGTGCATTGCCGGCCTTTAAGGTGAAGATACGCTCTCTTCTTGAAAGCTCAATATCAGCTATGTGCTATAATAGAGATCTATCACCATAAAAGCGAAATAGGTCACTATTAATTTTAGAACACTGTTCTACACCTACATTAGATAATGTCGAACAGGCTGAATGGTTTAAGGGTAATTTTCTTAGATTAAACTACTTTATGTTAACTTTAAAAAGAGTTCAGCGAGAAACGAGAGAACACTTATTTACTAGCGGCCGCCCGCGACTTCGTACGCGTGGATCCCGTTTTACCCTATCAGGGGTGTAGTTTCTTAAAATCCGTTCTTAGTTAGCACTTAAGTTGTAAAAGGAACCCCCATGGAAAATTTGAGACTCCTAGCACTTGTAGTGTAAAAAATTTCGTGTGATGAGTGAGTCAGTCAATCAGTGACCTTTCGCTTTTATAAATATAGATAATCAGCTTTGGAATGTTATAGATAAAGAAGAAGACTTAAACAGTACGTAAAACATCAGTTAACTATGATTTTGTAAGGCACACTGAAGGCCCTCATAAAATTCCCATCACTCATCATCGCACTCAAACCAATTGCTATTGACGCTGTACCTAGACACACCTGGTCTTCAAATCCTGGTATATTTAGCCGCATGAGTGGTGGCGGAGTGAGCCAGCTGGAGTGACTCCAGCGCACCTCAATCCATTCATAAACAATCGCATATGAGTGAGTGGTGTGTTTTGACATTACGTTCTGCTTATGACCGTAGCGCTAATGTATAGCGATAGGTGATTTGAGTGATGTAATAAGTTATGTGATTTCCAATGATGTTCAAAACAAAATAGCTTTTACCGTTGAGAATGTAACGTGCACAGAAAATTTTTAGCTATGAAGATAAACACCTGTTTCATCTGTACTCATAATATGCTAAAATAAGTGTGTGTCTGTGTATAGTTAAGTGTTCACGCCTAGCTAAACTATTGAACCAAATAGCTACGGTGAATTTAAGTGTTACAGAGTTAGCGCTGGATTGAACTTTGAATAACGATAGGATTCTCATCATCATCATCATCATCTATTAGTCTCCTCTGTCATTGTCGATTATGGAAATCATTGGGGGAGGCCTATGTTCAGCAGTGGACGTCCTATGGCTGAAATGATGATGATGATTGTCGATTATAAACTTTATCAGGTGAATTAGGGGAAGAAACAAAATGTATTTCGTTCAAAGCATGACGAAGACTCTCTGTGACTGAGAGAAATCCACAGAAGACTTTGAATTATGAGATATGATTTCATTCTTCAGAATTTCGTTTCATTTATTTACTGATATTAAAATAACTTTCTGAATCCACAATATTTATGTTGACGATACACAGTGTGTTATGGGACTGTATAATCGGACATTCTCATTGATTTGATGAAACGTATAGAGCTCAGTTATACAAACATGATAGTAAAACTCCCGTTTGAAAATTCCACGTAGTTTTCGCGGTATAAAAATTCAAAGTTACCTATTTTTTTACTTCAAAATTATGCAAAAATATTCTCACTCGTTAACTAATAACATTTAATTCAGAATTGTTATAATACTTCATAAAGCTCTTAAAACTACACGTAATAAGCGTATTAAGTGCTTCGTGAACGCATTCAGTTAATTAGGAAAAATGATTTTAGTGATTTTTGTTTTTATTTTTTTTCTCAATTACACCTTAATATATGCAAACATTTTTAATTGCAAGATATAGTCTGATATTTAATCTAATTGTATTAATAAAATCAGCTTTAAACTCCGTGATATATTTGAGAAAAAACATAAAACGTCTTAATAAAATTTTTACGCGTCTAGGGTCGACAATTTTGGAAAGAATAATTCATGTCTAAAAAGTTTCAAATCCCGCCTGTTATGTGCATAGTGTTGAAGGTTCTAAAAAGTAATTATTTTTATTTTATTTACGACCTTCGACCAGTTGGACACTTTAGATATCTTCTTGTAATAGTGTCAAACTGTCAATATCTTTTTAGCTTTTAACGCAAATCTAGTCTTCAAAGCAGTTTAATCGATTTATTTTATTTTCAAAATCGATATTTTATTGTCTATGATGGCCGCAGGAACATCACTATACATGGACTCCCAGCAATAAAGTACGGTAATGCCTCGTACAGATTTTATCGGCAAAAATTATGGAACTTGATAGGTTTTAGACCATGCCACGCACCAAAACGTCCGGAAGTTGTAATAGTATTATAGAATAAACGTTAAAAGACTTATTTATTTAATTTTTCAATGCTTAAGTGTCCATTAGAATGAAAGGGTGCTTAATGTATTAAAAAAAATAGAAAATAATTATGATGGGTTAATGTTTTTGGGCGGTTTTTTAGGCGGTTTCTGACAATGTCCTTTGAGGAAGTGTGAGGGAGATGGGTAAAGTTGAATTTATTGAAATTTTTTTAGAGTAGGACCTTTGGTTGGGATGCAATTTTTATCGCAATCCCTCGTTGCGGCGCCGTCCCCGGATAGATTGAAACGTGCACGTATTTTGATGAAATTTCTTCGGTGCTTTTGAAATTTGCTTCCTGGGACCTGAGTATTAAGTAGAACACGTCAACGTGTTACATTTTCATATCAAAAACACGTTCCTAATGGCCGGTTTTTAGTATTAATCATTCCTAAGCTTTGAATCCTCAAGAGTTTGCGAGGCATCTATTTTTTAAACATTCAAGTAAAAAATGTCTAAAGAGTAAGATCAGCCTTTTTAATTACGCAAGTCCTAGGCATTTAGTACTTTGTACCTACTTACCATAAGACCGTATACACAGTAAAGTAAATAAAAAATACGACTCTACCAATCTCGAACGTTATTTATTAATAAGAAAATATATTGAAAATTTGACATGTAATGAACATTATGAATAAATTTCTTATTCTTATTCTTATTGTAGGACATACATGTTTGAAAGTAAGAAGGTGCAATTACTAAATGTTATTACGGCACATCCAAAACAATGCCACACCAC